TCCAAATTAACATTCTTAGTTTGCGAGGTGATAATTATATGGCAAATAGTAAGGGATAAAAAGGAAGGAACGGACATTAAAGTGGGATATAAAGTAGGTAAATAATAGTAGGTATGGAATGAAGAAGGGAAGAAGACGGTGCAGGAAACTGAGAAGACATTTGGAAGCAAAGAAGGGCAGTACAAGGGGAAGGGCGAAAACCACAATTAAAAAGGAAAAAATGAATTAGCGACAGGTTTGAAAAGTAATGTAATTTTCTAAAACAGTTTGAAATAATACGTTACAAGCAATGATGTTTACTATTTAGACAACAACTTAGACAATAAATATAATTGGTTAGTAGTTAATATAGTAGCAAACCAAAAAAAAAAAGGGATGACAAGAGGGGTTTGATAAAGTGGGAGTTAAACTTTTAAATTTTTGAGATCATGGCTTCTACGTACCTGTTGGATATTACTGTTGTTAAGTCCTGTAAAGAAAAATGGATATATAAAATGAAAAATGAAAATATGTTTGTAAACAACAATAAAGTATTTGTTACAAACCCCAGATGGTTTCCAGATTGCTTTCTGCAAAATGAACACGCTTCTTTAAAGGTGGTCCTGATATTTGAGATGAAATTCCTGTAGTTAAGAGAAGTGTTTATAAATAAGCTGTATTTATGAGAAGTTAGAGGCAAGCCTTACCTTTAAGAATACCGGATCTGAAAGGAGTTATCTGTTGCTGTTGCTGTTGAGGCTGTGGAGCTAATGAAAGTATAAAAAAATATTTTTTATCGCATAAATATTGAATGGTATACGTACAGGACGAAACAACTACTTCAGATTCAACTGCGCCTGCTCCATGTAAACCTAGTTCACTAAAACTTTTCGAAATCATGTCTTCGGCTATAGAGGTAACTGTATAACCGAATCCACTGGCTGAATAATATACAAATAAAGAAAGTGCTATAAATTTATGTATTAATAGTTATTATTATTTATTACCTCCTTCAGGACTTGGAGGCCCTGAAGAGTCTGTCTCTTTAAGTTCGACATTTTCTTCCTCTGCTTGTTCTAATAGGTAAAATTATTATTTGATAAAGAACAGCAACAACCTTGGAAAATTAAGGGCAGTAATATAAATATAAAAATTACATACCAACAGGTTCTCGCGGAGTTTCCTTGGGTTCCATATTTTCACAAGTTAATGTTTAAGTTATGTTTAAAGAAACGCCTAACAGAACTGTGACTGATTTCAAATTGAAAATGTTATTTGACAGATAGTAATAGGGTTGAATTTTCCCGGATTTACCCGATATTTAAAGTCGAAACAATATGTATAATTTAATATTATATTCAATGGAGAGTTACAATGTACAAATGCTCTTAACAATGTAACGGACATCATTATAAACAAATGAAAATCAATTAATTCTCTCTCTCTCTCTCTCACACACGCACACAGAAGGCAGTACGAGCGGATCTGTTTAGTATCAGTTGAACTTTTTATAATTAACTATACAAAATATTTAATTAATATTTATTAAACTTCAAAATAACACAACACGTACAAATAAACAACTCATTTAAACTTTACATTAAACTAAATATTCATTTCCTTTGAATAAGACAATATTATTAACCCTAACGTACGTTAACGTAAAAATCTACAGAATATGTTTATGTAGTATCAAAAATTTATTTAGTCCTTTTTATTTTTCTTAATGGGATTCAAATCTAAAGCATCTTCATCATCATTTTGGCGTTTAGCATGAGAATAGTTTGTTAAAGCTGAAAAACACTGTTTTAGTCATAATTTGGGAAGGGTGGGGGGTGGGGGGGTGCTATCAGAAGTTTACCAGCATTTTCTGAAGGTGGGACTTCTTCAGAAGATGTTAAATTTAATTTTCTAATTCCTTCAATTAGTTCCTCATCACTGCTAGATTCGTTTAAATAATTATCTTCAAGATAAATTCCTACAAGCATTTAAATAATGATATAATAAATATAAACTGCCTAATTAAACTCAAATTAAATAAAAACCTTCGTCTGTAAGATGGGCAGGATCATAAGTTTCTTTAGTTCGAGTCCAAACCAAGTACAATGAAAGATTAGATATGTCAGAATCTGTAGAAGTTGGTGATAAATTGATACTGGTTGGAGATCTTCGATAATAGAAGTCTAATATGTCCTCAGGAACATAGTCGGGTTCAAATATCGATGTGGCTTCAAAAGCCCCTTTAAAAATGAAAATCAAACTAACTGAACCTAAACTTGGAGGCTTTTGCTATAATAATAAGAGCTAATGGCTATACTTCGAATGAGAATCTTACGTTTCTGTTCTTCTGAAGGAATTATGTCCTCGAAAGAAATTGCATCGTCGTTTGTATTAAAGAAAGGGGTGTTATTGTCAAGGGAACGATAATATTGTCGAATTTCAGATTCTTCCTGATCGTTATTGACCAAATACGAATTTGCTAAAATATTTTGTAGACAATTTCGTCGTATCTATTATTATAGTAAATTAGTCAACTTACCCTTATTTGCATCTTCGAGATATTTTTCAAGTAACTTTTGAGAATCAGTTTTTCGAGAATCACCCCGATTTTCTTTTTCCATTTTTAAATTCCAAAAAACTCACTTTAAAACGTTTTTGTTGTTTAAAAAAATCAAACGATTACTACTGGCTTGACAAAAATCAGAAACGGCATTAAAACGCCCTCTAGAAATATTTTTTCATATTTTTTGTAATATTAATTTCTTGTTAACGTAAAATTCGTACGTTTAGTCATAATGCCACATGGTAAAACACCGTTAAAATTTGAAAGAGCAAACGACCGTTAAACTTCAGTTTCCCATTGATTTTCTCTTCCAAGAGTTGCAATTTTAGAGGTTTCTGTCAATCCTAGGAAAAAGAGCTAGTGGCAGGTTTTAGGATTCTTGGTACCTATGCATAACTTTGCATTTTTGTTGAAATCAATAAATAGCGGGGCAGATTCGGTAAGGGGAAGGTAGAATTCAATGTTATTCAGTACTGCATGCACAATTTTTATATTAATAATGCCTTATTTTATAAACATTAACTGTAGATTTGTGCTTAATGTAGCCGACTTTGAATTAATGTAAAATTAATTGTAAAATTTCTTTCCTAAACATTATTGAAGAATATTAA